AAGGGAAGCCGTGGTGCAGGGGTTCTGGAGCCAGAGGCCCCTGAGAACTCACAGCAGAGCGTTGCACCTCTCCCCAGAAGGAGACCGGCAGGGCAGCTGCCTGCGGAATGTGTATCCGAGTTGAGCACGGTCCGCCCCCACAGCCCAGCGGTGGTCCGCTCCCTGCGTGTCGTGGAGGAGGAGAGCCTCGCGAAGGCCCTGGCCGCCCCCCCCTCCCCCACGCCCTCATCTCCCTGGTGGTCAGCCTGCCCTGGGCCGAGCCGCCAGGCCCCTTGCGTGAGGAGCCTGGCCTTGCCTGGGTCCGCTGCTCCCCGGATTCCTGAGGCTTGGAAACCCGGCGGAATTTTCCAGCCTGTCACTAGCCGGGTGCTTCCGTGATGGCTGCAGGGTTGAGGCTTCCTTCCCGCCCCCTCCGCCCCCCACCTCTGATTTTGTGCAGTAGTGCGCGAGAGAAAAGACCCTGGACCAGGCCTGGGTGTTTTATGTGTTGGGAGGGGGTGGACACAGTCATCTGCAGGGAACCAGGCTTTTCCGGGCGAGGCAGTGATGAGGAGAAAACCGTCAGAGGTGCTTGCTGAAGCAGGAGGGGCCATACGCTCAGAAAAAGGAGCCCGCAAAGCAAAGGGCTTGCCTTTGAGGTTCCCACACCTTCCTCGGACAGTTTCTAACTTCCCTTACAGCTCACGGAGACGAAGTAATTGCTCCTGTTTAGATTTTGCAAAAATGTATGTTTACGGTAGAAAAATACACAAGAAAGTCATTGATAGTCTCCGTTACTTTGATCTATAGCTGTGTGTCCTCTTTCTACTCCTGTATATGTATACACATCTTTAAAAAGTATATTGCATACACAGTTTTGCGGCATTTCTGTTTCATTCATCAATTGTAACTTTTCAACAGCTCCGAGTCCGCAAGTCTGCTTCTCCAACATCACTGGTAGCTTTTAGCTTGATAGGTGTCTCATAGGCCTGGCCAGCCCCCTCTGCCAGTTTTGTTTCTTTCTCTTGACCGTGGAGAATTTTGTCCTTTCTGCTACACGATGGTCCAGGGAAAGCCCGCAAGGAAAGGAGACACTTGCAGGCCTGAAGTCAGTTTGCAAAGATTTGACTTGCCGTGTACACCTGGGTATGGAACGGTTGTTGTGTTGATAGTATTTTAGAGTATTTTCAAGGGACATTAAGCAGTATTTAATAATTGCTAAGATTAAGATTTATTGCTTTTCCAAACATATTCTGGGGCACTCCTTTTTCTAAAAGAGAGATGGTAAGAATAACAGATTTGTTGGAATACCAAGGAGGCATCTTCCTGTTTAGTATGCAAGGCGGTGTGGAAAGAAGTGGCACCAAGTGGCTAAAACAGGTTATTACAACAAAGGCTTGGCTCGATTTTGCCAGGGAAGCTGGCCAGGAGGCAGTGGCTCCCCCAGAATTCTCTGCTGATGGCAGAGCTCTGCTTCGCCAACATCATTTTTATTGTCCGTATAGCAGATGACAAGGGTACGGCTTTGCACAGTCAAGGACATTTCCCTGGAGTGGGACACACCCCAACGTATTAGGGCTCCTGTTAGTTTATGGATGTTTACCATAGAGCCTGAAAAGGCCAGCGATGGGCTCAGGGATTACGGAAATGACCTTTCAGGAGCAAAACAGGTTTGTCATCTTCAGTGAGTGCTCTGAGTTTTGATGGTCTGCCTTGGCTACACGTGGAAACCTTTCTCTTTTAAAGAAACCGCAGCCTGTAAATGGAAGGAGCCTATTCTGGACAGGAAGGCCCTTTAAAAAAGAAAAAGTGGGATTTATTAATAAGTGCTTCGGTCTTGCTAATTCAGGTTGAAAATAAGCTCCTTGTCTCCCTTTTCTGCAAATGATTGCTTGTAATGGACCAGAAACAAGCCCCAGGAGGGTCAGAGCCCAGGCAAGTGGGCTCCCACTGGGGGCAAAGCCACACCCCCAGCCCCAGGAATAGCCTCAGGGGCGTGTACCACCACCTCCCGGCTGGGGTAACCTGCTGATCTATACTTATTACGTTCAAGTGACTTTATTGATTATTTTTGTCTTTTATACAATTATGCAAGTCCTTATGATTATTGGAGGAAAAATTTAACAGTACGATAAGCCAGATGGAAAAAAAATAACTGTAGTCTCACCACTTAGTAATAAAACTATAAATATGACAAACCTTTTGTGTTCTACATCGTTTTTTCTATACTAGTTGAAGCATTTGTTTTTATTACACTAAAAATATCATGTTGTGTGTACTGTATCCCTACGTTGAGTGGGTGGAATAGCTAGTTTCCTATGTAACCTGACTATCCTGTCCTGGTAGTTAGTAGATGCAATACTCAGTTTATTTTGCAACCAGCTAACGGCATTCCTCTATTAAGTAGATGGAATAGCCAGTTTATTATGTAACATGACTACTGTATCTATGCGGTGAGCATGTGCAGTAGTGTGTTTACTATGCCTACTGCATCGCTGCAGTGAGGGGATGGAATAGCCAGCTTACTATGTAACATGCTTATTGCATCCCTGCAGTGAGAGGATGGAATAGCCAGTTTACTCTGTAACAGGCCTACTGCAGCCCTGCAGTGAGGGGATGGAATAGCCAGCTTACTATGTAACATGCTTATTGCATCCCTGCAGTGAGAGGATGGGATAGCCAGTTTACTCTGTAACAGGCCTACTGCATCCCTGCAGTGAGGGGATGTAATAGCCAGCTTACTCTGTAACAGGCCTACTGCAGCTCTGCAGTAGGTGGGTGGAATTATCAGTTGGCTGTTCATTTGGTCTGTTATATATTTGCAGTGAGTGCATGCAACAGCCAGGTCCCTTGGCGCCCTTTTAGTGAGTGGATGGAATAGTAAGTTTATTATTTTTTTATTTTTAAATATATTTTTATTGTTGATAGTATTACAGATATCTACCCCTCCCCATCCCCCACTTGAATAGCCATTTTCATATGGAGCTGGCCTAATGCATCCCTGCACATGAATGCATGGAGTGGTCAGTTTACTATATAATCAAGCTACAGCATTTCTGCCTGAGTAGGTGGAATAGGCAGTTTACTATGTAAGAGGCCATACATCTCTGCAATGAGTTGGTGGAATAGCCAGTTTGCTATGTTACTGGGCTGCTGCATCCTTGGAGTGAGTGGATGGAATAGCCAGTTTAGTATATAACTGGCCTTCTCTACTCCTGCAGTGAGTGGATGGGGTGGTCTTCTTTATCTCTGCAGCAGTTGAAATAATGGTTCCTATGGCTCTTTCTTATAAGTTATCTCAATGGTAGATTAAGGAAAAGGAGTGCTACCACAGTGTCCAAACAGGTGTCTTAAATATTTCTAATAATGTAATTGTAATGAATACAAATAATTTTTGGTTTGCTGGACCTGGGAGTTAAAGGAAGATGATCTACAGCAGTGATTTGTAGCCTTCACTGCCTATAACCCCCACCTCTAAGATTTTGTTTTAATTAGTCAGAGGTGGGACCAGCCAATGGAATCTTTTTAGCACACCCAGCTGTTGAGATGTGTTTTTAATTGTGAGTGTGAAGTTAGCCTGACAGCAGATAGCTCAAAGTTATTTTTTGGAAGCGGATGATGGGTGATGTTTTGTGTTGCTGATTACCCTGACAGCTTGCCAAGTGGAAGTAGGTGAGACCATCATTTTATGCGATTAAGAAGCCTATTTGAGAGTGTGCCATGATTTTTCGTAGAAGACAATTTGGCCTTTTCTCTTTCAGGTTGTATTGGTTAATAATCTCTTTCCACTTGGTTGGACCACAGTGCCCAGATATTTGGCCAAAAATCATTCTGGCCCAGGCTGGTTTGGCTCAGTGGAGTGAGCGTTGGCCTGTGGACTAAAGGGTCACGGGTTCGATACCAGTCAAGGGCACATGCCCAGGTTGCAGGCTCGATCCCCAGTGGGGGGGGGGCGCTCAGGAGGCAGCCAATTAATGATTCTCTCTCATCATTGATGTTTCTATTTTCTATGTCTCTCTCCCTCTCCCTTCCTCTCTGAAATCAATAAAAATATAAAATAAATTTTTAAAAAATCATTCTGGATGTTTATGTGAAGGTGTTTTGGGGATGAGATTATCATTTATATCAGTGTACTTTGAGTAAAGCAGTTACCCTCCCTAATGTGGGTGGTCCTCTATCAGTTGAAACCCTCAATAGAACAAAAACTAAACCCCACCCCCTCCCCAGCAGACTGCCCCTTGGACTCCAAATGCTTACTCTTTCTTGGGTCTTCAGCCTGTGGGGCCACCCCTGTGTTATGTCAGGGCCAACTCTGCCCTGTCCAGCAGGGAGGCAGCAGTTTGCTGTGGGAGCCACTCTCTGCTCACCTGGCCACGGTAAGATGGCTGCTAGTGTGTTGAGACGGGGGCACACACAGGATCTAATGGACAAGAGTAGCGTTGCCACGTTTTCAAGGATAACCCATCTCTGCTTATAGAATCATGTTCTTCCTCTTGGTGAAGGTTGAAAGCAATTGCCCCAGTATTTTTTGTTTTTTGTTTTTTTTCTCTGAATGTTAGAAAAAGTTCTTTCTTTTTCATGCAAGGCGTTCAGACCTCTCTATCCAACAGACTCTAAAAACTCTTTCAGGAGAGGGAAGAGAAGTTGGAGATCTCTCAGATTAATCTCAGTGTGTAAAGAGCAAAATAAGGCTCTACCTGTGGATGCTCAACTTCATTTCCACAGTTAGAGGTTGTTAATGCCCAAGATGTTTTTAGAAAATTACATCTGTGTTGATCTTCTTTTCATCTGTTTGTGCTGAAGAGCTTCTTTTATACTTTCCTGTGATGTTTCCTGTGTGTAATTAATAAACCCAGATTTTAAAAAATGAAGGCGGTCTCTAGGTCATTTAACATATGGCAGATTGGTTTAGCCACTATGAATACCGTATTGAGGTTCCTCAAAAGATTGAAAATGGAACTGCCTTAGAATCAGCAAATCTACTTCTGGGTATATATTTGAAGAAACTCAAAATACTAATTCAGAAAGACATATGTACCCCTATATTCACTGCAGGATTATTTACAGTTGCCAAGATATGGAAGCAACCTAAGTGCCCATCAGTAAATGAGTGAATAAAGAAGACATATAGTAAGATATACAATGGACTATTACTTGGCCATAAAAAGAATAAAATCTTACCATTTGCAACAGCATAGGTAGACCTAGAAGGTGTTATGCTAAGTTAAATAAGTCAGTCAGAGAAAGACAAATACCATGTGATTTCACTTATATGTGAAATCTAAAGAACTGAATAAAAAATAAACAAAACAGAAACAACCTCATAGATACAGAGAACAAACTGTTGTTTGCCAAGTGGGTGGGTGGTTGAGGACTTGCTGACAAAGGTGAAGGATTAATAAGTTCAAATAGGCAGTTATAAAATAGTCATGGGGATGTGAAGTGCAACATAGGAAATATAGTCAATAATCTATAATAATAAAAGCATAATATGCCAGTTAGACCGGATGTCCTTTCCGACAAAGCCGCAGCAGGCCGGGGGCCTAGGCAGAGGTGGCAGAGGCCCCCGGCCACAGCAGCGGTGGGTGGGGGACAGGGCCAAGGCCCTTGCACGAATTTCGTGCACTGGGCCCCTAGTATTGTAATAACTACGTATGGTGCCAGGTGGGTACTAGACTTACGGCAGGGGAGAAATCACTTGGTAAGATACATAAAGGTCTAATCACTATGTGGTACATCTGAAACTAATATAACATTGAATGTCAACTGTACTTGAAAAATTAAAAAAATAAAAAGAGTATGAAGCCAAAAAAGAGAAGGGTTCCCTCATGAGATGCCCTTGGAAAACTGAGGGTGGTCAAGGCCTGGTGAAGGGAGCGAGTTCATTTGGGGATGTGCCCGAAGTTCTGGGTTAACATAAATGATACCCCTGTGTAGGTTCTCTTAGGAATCCACCCATCATCATCATCATCATCATCATCATCATCTGCTTGTGCGTGGAGATGGGACGAGAGATCTAAGATGCTTTCTTTTGCTCTCTCAGCGCATCTATTATCTTTCCCTGGAGTTCTACATGGGCCGTACTCTGCAGAACACGATGGTGAACCTGGGCCTGCAGAATGCTTGCGATGAAGCCATCTACCAGGTACGGGTCCTGGGGCCAGGCTGCCCAGTAGCCTCTCCTGTTGCTCTGAGGGTTTAGTTCAGGCCCCACAGAGGTGAGCATTGACAGAGGTGAGCGTGGATGTTAGAATTTGCCGCCACCTAGGACCTGGGAAACGTCCGATGGTGTCCCCTGTCCTTTGTGAGGGAGAATGGGTTGGTGGGTGATACTCCTCTTTCTCAAGGGGAGAAAGTAGGAACTGGATGGAGAGCTATTAATACAATGGAGTGCAAGGGCTCGATGGCATTGTAATTCTAAGGTTTGGAGGCTTCTAGAAACCAGTGTATTCCTCACTCCCACCCCAAGGACAGATTTACAATGTGGCAGAAGTATTTGGTATTGTCACACTTCTCCTTGCTTCATTGAACCGGTAACCTACCTCCAAAATCCCTCCTCTGCCCCTAAGACCCTATCCTCTAGTTATAAATTTGCCCTTTCTCCCCTAAACAGGATAGAAACTGCCTTTGCTTAAGCAGCGGTTCTCAACCTGTGGATCGCCAACCTGTGGGTCGCGACCCCTTTGGGGGGTCGAACGACCCTTTCACAGGGGTCGCCTAAGACCATCAGAAAACACATATATAATTACATATTGTTTTTGTGATTAATCGCTATGCTTTAATTATGTTCAATTTGTAACAATGAAAATACATCCTGTATATCAGATATTTACATTACGATTCATAACAGTAGCAACATTACAGTTATGAAGTAGCAACGAAAATACTTTTATGGTTGGGGGGTCCCCACAACATGAGGAACTGTATTAAAGGGTCGCGGCATTAGGAAGGTTGAGAACCACTGGCTTAAGGGTTCTTTATTAACAGTTGTTTAGTTGGAGGTCGTTCACAGTTCATTTGCTGTTTTAGAGCAGAGCTGGCTTTGATTGTGTCTGTTTTCTGTCTCTCCCCCACTTCCCTGGACATGGTCTTTCTCCCTCACCTAGATGCTCAGTGTAGAACTTTTGGAGTGTGAACATGCATCGCTTCTGCCCTTTTGCACATACACAGAAGGGTCCTTACCACAGTCGTCCTCCCCCCAAGAACCTTCCACTGCTTCTGCTTGGGTTCGGTTTTGGTTTTGAGGTGGGAGGTGCTCTGGGGGCCTTCTTGGAGGAGGTGTGGTGTGAGCCTTGCAGGGCCATCAGGCAGCCCGGCATTGTGGGGGATCATGTCTCCCCCTCTAAGACTTGAGCTGGTAATGTGTCAGGTAAATCCCCCCACATATTCCAGATATTTTTGGTGGAACACACTCTTTGAAATCGTTATGGGAGTTAAGTCAATATTTTGAAATCTAAATCAGATGACTGTATGTGTTAGCACCATTCAGTTTACTTAATAGATGCTAAGCTATTTTGTATGACTTTTATGTTTTTCATTTTCTCACAACTCTTCTTCCTCTCTTTGTAATTTATTAGATTCTCAAAGTGTGGTCTGGAGACCCTCAGGTTCCCTGAGACCTTTTCAAGGGGTCTGTTAGGTCAGAACTATTTTCATAACACTAGGATGTTATTTGCCTTTTACACTCTATACTTCATGAGTATGTGGTAGAGTTTTCCAGATGCTATCTGATGTGTGATATTCCAACAAATTGAATGCTGGAGCAGAAAATCCTTTAAAGAACTTTGTAAAAATATGAAATACTGCAACTCTTCTCAGTAAATAATTATTTGTTTTCAAATATAGTTTTTTTTTATTAAACAGTGTTGTTGATGTTAATGTGATGGGTTTTATCAAGTTTAATATTAATGGAATAATTATCAATACAACATAATTGAGAGCCCTAACAGCTCTATTCTGGAATGGTTTTCAGTTAGGTGAAGTGGTTGTGACTTTGTTGCTTTTTCTCTAATTTTTAACATACCATATCTGTTTCACAAGTTGGCTTGAATATAATTGGAATGCCACGGAAAGGTGTTTTTAGATTTGGGTTTAAAAAGATGTCACGTGATTATCATTAGACCATGCGAAATTAGAGAATTACTAAAACCTTTGGTTTCATTTTTAGGAAGCATGTTATAATCTGTCCACTATAAGTAAATTAATAATATGACAGTATATATCTTTGGCTATTAAACCATGTCTCATTTTGACTATAATTCTTAGGTCATTTGACAGCTTTTGAAATACCTGGAAACTTTCATTTTCGATCAGCAATTAAGCATCAGATTTTAACATTGGACTTTCAAGTCTAAAAGGAAGCAGACCCTACCCTTTGATATAAACTCACGGGATTTAAATATCATTCCACCTGGTACTTGAGTGAAAATATTAAGTAATGTGAAAATATTGCCTCTGTTTTTATTCACAGTTGGGGTTGGACCTGGAAGAACTGGAGGAAATAGAAGAGGACGCTGGCCTGGGGAATGGAGGACTGGGGAGGCTGGCAGGTAACCCCAGGCACCTGTCTAGGACAAGATTGTCCTAACATGGTGCCTTGTCAGTGATCACATGGTAAGGCCAAGGCCAGCCATGCTCTTGGCACTGTTCTGACAGGATAAAGGGGTCCCTCAGGGTGGATGGGAGAGTGTGTGCTCCAGGTCAAAATCTTTGCCTCTGGCAGGGAAAAGTGCAAGATGTATGTCTCTTTCATCCAAGGGGCCCTTCATAAAGATCATGAAGACCAGGCTTGCCAGTGTTGGGTGACTGGTGCTGGGAGGGATTCCAGTATATCAGCCACTCTGCACGATCCCAAAGCCAGTCATTGGGAGAAAGACACACACACACACACACACACACACACACACACACACACACACACACACAGCTTACAGAGCTCTCTCCCTTTGGGGGATGTTGCTCCCTTGGTAAGCTCTATTTGAGAGCATACTCAGTTGTTTTTTATCTGTTTTAATCATTTTGGCCAGTGTTTTAGGGGAGAGGGAGCTGGGTTAAGAACGGCGAAGTGGAAGTAGCCGTCACAGTGAGATTTGATTTTACTCTGCACATCAAGGCGCTTGGGCACAGTGTCTCTAAGGGAAAAGATGAGTTAGGTTTTGTGCTGCTCTTGTGTTGGGGGGCCAAGGGGAGGGTGGGCTCAGGCCCCTCCCACTTGGTGTCATGGCCCCTTTTGGGAATTGTCGTTTTGAAAAGGGAGCAGATGCCCTAAAATTTAGGGGGTGAGGATGCATGTGCTTGTATTTTTTTATTTTATTTTATTTTTTTGCTTATAAACAACAGAAATTTATTTCTCACAGTTCTGGAGCCTGGAAATCTAAGATCAAGGCACTAGCAAATTTGACGTCTGCTTCCTGGTTCACAGATGGCCAGCTTCTCCCTCTGTACTCACATGACAGAAGGCTGTGCTTGTATTTTTTAATTTTAAAGTAAATTCTTCACAAATTATAAATGCAACATGTTTATCTCAAACAAAACAGTGCATGGTTCTATATAGAGAAACAATTGGCACCCTGGCCGGGTGACTTAGTCGGTTGGAGCATCATTCCTTTCACCAAAGGGGTGCAGGTTCGATTTCCGGTCAGGGCACATACCTAGGTTGTGGGTTTGATATTTGGTTGGAGCAGGGTGCATATGGGAGGCAACTGATCCATGTTTCTCTCTCACATTGATGTTTCTCTTCCCATCCTCCCCACCTTCCTTTCTCTAAAATGCAGTAAAAAGCTTGTCCTTGAGTGAGGACTAAAAAAAAGGAAGAAACAAATTGGCAAGGCCTGCCCACCTCCACCCTTAGTGTGAAAAGCCCATGTGCGTCCTGGGCATCCTGCTCTCCAGGCAGGGCCCTGTCTGCGTGGATGATGGTGAGGTCACACCACACAGTGAGACAGACAGAGCTTCCTTCCCCTGCAGCCCCCCGGGAGCCCCCGTGTCCTCCAGCCCGAGGGCCAGCCCACCCAGTCCCCTTCCCCTGACGGCATTCTGTTCATCACAGTAAAACCAGGACCTGCTTCCCAAGCTCCAGGGAAGCTCCAGGCTGGCTGGTGTTCTTTACTGGAGTGGATCCTCACCTCCCCTCTTACCCCAGAGCTGGGGACTGTCAGCCAGGCAGTCCCACCCCCTGCCCTTCACAATCCACTTACATCCTGGGCATTTTCAGGGCTTCCCCAGTCAGATTCATGTTGACTACCGGTCCTGCCACTTCTGTGGTGCCCCTGGCCTTTCCTGTGGGCAGGTGTGATGGCACCTCCTCCTTTGGGCCCCTCTGGTTCCACAGCTCCTGTCACCTGCACAGACCTGGCAGCCCAGCCCGCTGTAGCTTAATATGTCCTCTGTCCTGCCTGTGAGAATGATTTCCTCAAAACAGCAGCCCAGGTCTTACGTGTTCGGGTTTTCCCTATTTCTCTCCCGCGGGGAAGGGCCTGGCCTCCAGGGGCCTGTGCATGTTTGGTGAATTAGGCATGTTTTTGTTTGTGTGTTTATTTTTGTGTTTTTTAAAATATGTTTCTTTATTGATTTAAGAGAGGAAGGGAGAGGGAGGAAGAGATAGAAACATCAATGATGAGAGAGAATCATTGATTGGCTGCCTTCCGCACGACCCCCACTGCAACCCGGGCATGTGCCCTTGACCCGAATCGAACCCAGTACCTTTCAGTCTACAGGCTGACTATCTACTGAGCCAAACCGGCTAGGGCTGTGTGTTTGTTTTTTGCTTATTTTGTGTAGAGTTTTTTCCCCCCCTTTACTTTCTTTCTTTCTTTTAATCCAGAAGGCTAATAAGTCTACCTTCTGGTTCTCAATTTAAAGCATTGTGCTTTCTTTTCCCCACCACATTTTGATCGGAACAAGGGGTCAGTCAGTTGGTGACATGCTGCTCCAGCCGCTTCCCGCACACTCTGGGTGCACTTTGGCGCTTGGGTATTTGGCGTTGCGGACAGTGAAACGTACATCCCCAGCCCTTGTTTCTGTGCCTTCTCCACTAGTGTGTAGATGGGCCCCTACCATCCAGACAGCTTGGATTTGGGGTTGATTGTGTGGGGAAGGGAGGCCGTCAGTCCGAGTGAGACTCTGGGAGAAAGTTGGCCATGGGACTGATTCAGAGATGCCCCAAGTGTGGCTGTGTTCTCTGCATCTTCCCACAACCCCAAATTTACCCCACATAGATATCTTCTTGGTGTGGCCCCGGGCTCTCAGGCCGAAGGGAGTGAGGGTATATTTCAGTTTTCTTTTTCATGGTAGCTGAAGCTGACGGTGGTCAGCACTGAATCCCTGACACCCTAGAGGCTGACATCCCAGCGCCTGGTTAACTTAGGGCCTTGCTTCCAGTGGGCCTCGAACATGTTGATTGTCTTTGATCAGAAGAAGTTCTTTGTGTTTGAAATTTTCAGCCTGCTTCCTTGACTCGATGGCCACCTTGGGCCTGGCAGCATATGGCTATGGAATCCGCTATGAGTTCGGGATTTTTAACCAGAAGATTGTCAATGGCTGGCAGGTGGGTGAGACTTGGTTCCTTCACTCGTTTCCAGCTCTCGTTTGCACAAGAAAATAAATAGGTGCACTTTCTGTTCAGCTTTTAGTATTTAATTTTTTTTGAAGTTTAAAAGAGATTTATTTCAAAACACAACAAAAAAAAGCTTTGGTATTTCAAAACCCAACGATCAATCACTAGAAAGTTAAACACTTCCCCTGAAACCCAGGAGAACAAAACCACAGAGCTCCACGGACTCACTGGAAAGGGACAATGTGCAAACCCGAGAGTGACCCGAGACCCAAGCCCTCCACACAGGCCGCGAGCGGGCCCCCGAAGGCCACCCCTGTCCCGAGACCCAAGCCCTCCACACAGGCCGCGAGCGGGCGGGCCCCCGAAGGCCACCCCTGCGGTGAGATCCAAAATCACCACCAAGATCCACTGTCTACAGTGGACGCAAAAGCCCTCCCAGCTTTTAGTATTTTAAACTCCTTCATGGAGAGACTACATGCCAGTCCTAGACAAGCTGAGGTCGGGCAGGTCAGGGCAATCCTACGAGCTCCATGCTTTCCTCATATTCCCCAGGGGCCGGCAGAGGCTGGTCTCCTGTGTGAGCTCATTGCACGTTTGGTGGGGCGGGGCCCAGAGCCTGCTGGACCTTACAGGGGACACCAGGGGTGGAGGTTGTGTGGAGGTGGTGAGATATCACAGGCGCATGCTGGTTTCCGTTGTGTCTCAGTGCAGAGCCAAAGTGGCCCCTCGCTGGTTCACCCTCAGAGGGACAGCTGCCCTGGAGCAGTTAGAAAAACACTTGTCGTCGGTCTTGTTCCCACCTTCAGCCTTATCTCCCCGATACCAGTGAGAGAACAGCACCGTGTGGGGTTAGAGGCCAGACCCTGAAAACGAAAGGGGCCCTTAGGGAGAGTGAACCTCAATTCTAGAGCATCAAACCACAGCTAAGTGAGGCGGTCGGGACCACATCAGTGAAGAGTGTCACCTTAAACTGCAGTCTCACTGTCCTCTAGGTGAGGTGGTTCTTCCCCTCATTTGGCATTTCCAAATGGAAGGCATAACTATCCATTTGGGTGCAGAATAATTGTTTTAGTATAATTTGGGGCCTAAAAGTCACATATAAAGCCAGATGTGGTTAGGATTGGAAATTTTGTAACTCAAGAGTAGTATAGTCTCAGTGAAATAGCTGATGACCGGGTTGATGGAAATGCCCTATGTCTTGATGGGGTTTGAGTCACGCAGGATGCAATTGTCAAAACTCATCAATGGTATCCACAGGGTTTGTGCATTTCACTGTATACGGTATATAGTAACCTAAAAAATAAACACACGATGAACTGTACTTAAAGACATGCATGCTGCAGTGGTCAGGGGCTGAGTGTGTAGATGTCTGCAACTTACTTTGAAATGCACCCAAAAATTAATGGATCAATGGATAAATCAAGTGTAATGTTAACAATTATAGAACCTAGGTGGTGAGCATGTGGGTGTTCACTGCCAATTCTCTTAACATTTCTGTATGTTTGAAAATGATCATAATAAAATGTTGGCAAAGAAAATTATGGCTACACGTGTAAAAGGAAATTTAAAACAGATTTGTACCCATTGTTTAACTTATAGAAATACTCCCTCCAGCCTTAAAAGAAATGGCAGCTTTCCTTCTGGTACCTTTCAGATAATTTCACTCACAGTTTATGTGTGTTTGTCAGATGTACGTGTGTTTTGTTCTGTTTTTAAGAAGTGATGAAAGATTTTTACTTTCTATTTTTGAGATTTTTGTTCTGTTTTGTTTAAAGTTTAGTTAGCACACAATATTAGTTTCAGGTGTACAACATAGCGATTCAACATTTATGTACCTTACAATCTGGTCACCATGGTAAGTCTAGTAACCATCCACTATGCAAAGTTATTACAATATTATTGATTATATTCTGTGTGCCATATATTATATCCCCATGACTTATTTATATTATAACTGGAGATTATAAAATGACCATTACCTCCCTTCACCTTTTTCACGCATGCCTCTAGTCTTTCTCCCCTCTAGCAACTATCCATTTGTTCTCTGTATCTATGAGTTTGTTTCTAATTCATTTTGTTTTTTAGGCATCACATATAAGTGAAATCATGTATTTGTCTTTCTCTGTCTGACTTGTTCACTTAACATAATGCCCTCTAGGTCGACCTGTGTTGTTCAAATGGCAAGATCTCATTGTGTATTATTACTGAGTAATATTTCATGAATATCACATCTTCTTTATCCATTTATATATCTTTGGATACTTGTACTACTTCCATGTCTTGGTTATTGTGAATAATGCTGCAATGAACATAGGGATGTGTATATCTTTTTGCATTAGTGTTTTTATTTTCTTTGGATACTCAGAAGTAGAATTGCTGGGTCATATGCTAGTAATATTTTTAATTTTTTAAAAAAAAATTTTTTTTAATTGAGGAAGGGAGAGGTAGAGAGAGATAGAAACATCAATGATGAGAGAGAATCATTGACCAGCTGCCTCCTGCACGCCTCTTACTGGGAATCAAGCCCACAACCTTGGCATGTGCCCTGTCCAGGAATCGAGCCTTGACCTCCTAGTTCAGTGATGGCGAACCTTTTGAGCTCGGCGTGTCAGCATTTTGAAAAACCCTAACTTAACTCTGGTGCCCTGTCACATATAGAAATTTTTTGATATTTGCACCCATAGTAAAACAAAGACTTATATTTTTGATATTTATTTTATATATTTAAATGCCATTTAACAAAGAAAAATCAACCAAAAAAATGAGTTCGCGTGTCACCTCTGACACGCATGTCATAGGTTCGCCATCACTGTCCTAGTTCATAGGTCGATGCTCAACCTGAGCTACGCCTGCTGGGCACATTTTTAAATTTTTGAGGAACCCCTATACTGTTTTCCACAGTGGCTGCACCACTTTACACATTTTCAAAGCAGAAGGCTTTCAGTGATTCTGTTTTTATTTTTAAATAACAGCTAATGGGATATCCAGTTTTTAATATAGTCATAAAGTTGGGCGACCATCACCCATATTTCCAGAACATTTTCATCACCCCAAAAAGAAACCCAGCACCCATTTCCAGTCACTCCCCTGTGCCTGTCAGCTATTCATCTACTTTCTCTCTGGATCTGGCTGTTCCAGACCTTTCATATGCATGGGATCATACAGTACGTGGGCATCTTTGATTCAACATAATGTTTTCAAGGTTCATTCATGCAGTAGCATGCAGCAGGATCTCTTTTTATTGCTGAATTCAGGTAATTCTTAATGTCTTTTCACTTTAATCCATTTTTCTGAATTTTGTTTAAGTTTGTGTTCTTAGTAATCCAAATTGGAAATCTTCGCATTGTGAGTAGGCTGTAGTTTTGTTTCAGTGCTGGGCAGAGTCATCTCCACAGCACGCGTGGTTAGTGCTGACCAAGGGCAGGGTCAGCCCAGTGCCACGGACTCGCTCCTCTCCATGAGCTGTTTGCTGCTGGCTGCTTTCCAGGTCGAGGAGGCCGATGACTGGCTGCGCTACGGCAACCCCTGGGAGAAGGCCCGGCCGGAGTACATGCTTCCTGTGCACTTCTACGGGAGAGTGGAGCACACCCCCGAGGGGGTGAAGTGGCTGGACACGCAGGTACCCACCCGTGTTTCCCAGGGAGCGTGGGCTAGTGCAGGACCTCGGGGTTTCGTTGTTGAGTTGGCTTGCTTTGGGAGTGGGAGGTGTGCACGCATATGAGTCACTGTAAGCTTCCCTAGACGACCCAACTCAAGGTAGAAGCCTGGCAGCTTTGCTTCTCATACCTTCGATTTCTTACGTTTTTGTCTGGAACTATCCAGACAGTGGGAAATGCTGAACCTGAAGCCACGCTCTGTAGTTTACCAGCAGCCGTGTGTTGGGGTGGAGACCAGCAGTTGTTGAATGGCAAGCAGGGCAGACAGCGCTGTGACGGGGACAAGGGCATCGATCCCCTGGGGGACGTACGCAGCTCCCCAGCAGGTGCTCAGCATGCTCTCTCCCACATGCTCCTGGTCCTCGGGGTGCCCGTGGCTCTCAGTGGTAACCCAGGTGCGGCTCACCATTGACTCTGATGCCTCAGAGCCCCCGATGTGGAGAGAGGTCAGAGATGGCTGGAGGCCTAAAGAGCCTTAATTAGTATTTAACTTGAACAAGCAGAGAAAGGGATTGGTGCTTCTAAGTGTGCGTGCTTGTAGAAGATGAACGTGTTTGTGTATGCAAGGAGGCCCAGAGACTACTGGGGCGTCCGCGGCTGACCGTGATGAGGGCCTTACCCCGGAGGGCTGGCCATGGAGAGGGAAGGAGGCAGTTGGAGATGCTTTGCAGGGCTTGTCAGCTGCTTGGACAAAGCCTTGGGGATAGGGGAGCAGCGGGCGGGGTGAGGGTTGAGAGGAGATCCGAAGGGAAAGATGACACTGGGGCTTAAACCTGGTGGGGCTCTTCCGTAGTCCTTTGTGGCTGCCGGAGCTGTTTTCATCTTGTAAAGCCACACGGTGCCCTTGTGGGTGCTACCAAAAGCATGTCTGCGTGTGAGGAGGCCGATTGGAGGGCCTGGGGGCTGGAAGAGACCTTGAGGCTTATCCACTTCTTCCTGTGCTTTCCAAGAGCAAAGCTGTCAGAGGGAATTGGGAGGGGGTGTGGCAGCCTCCATAGGGGGAGAGCAAGTCTTGCACTTGCTGTTGGGAGCCGAGTGTGTGGGCTGGTTTGACTTCATTGAGAGTTAGATATCAAGGCACACAGCAGGAGGACCCTCCCCGCAGACATGGAAATGGAGGTCAGAAATGGAATCGTGTTTGGGGGAAGTTGGTTGAGTGAGAAGAGTTAAGGTGTGGAGGGCAGTGGACGAGGACACAGTGGTTGCTGAGGGAGCATGAGCCAGGGCAACGCAATGGCCCCTCGAGGTGGGAAGAAGTGTTAAGCTGGTGTCAGCACTGAAGCAGGTAAGGCTAAAAAGACTGTGGCCTCAGGTGTGCATTCAGGCTCACCTGTCAGGGCTGACTCAGGATGTCCGAGAGCTGGGGCTGCAGGCACGGGTATGCAGCAGGGTGGGGAGGGTGGTGGGACTGTCACTTGGCACAGGGCAGGTTGGGTGTGTTTTGGGCAGAAGGAGAAAAGCCAGAGGAGGATGAGCAGGTGCTTCCCGCTGGGCTGGCGCTGCTCTGCAGGTGGGCCCAGAACTGGGCACTGTCTTCGGCTGACTCCATCCTGACCCTGACGATCTCTCCCTCGGGCAGGTGGTGCTGGCCATGCCGTACGACACCCCGGTGCCAGGCTACAAGAACAACACTGTCAACACCATGAGGCTGTGGTCTGCCAAAGCACCCAACGACTTCAATCTCCACGACTGTGCGTTGTGCCCTTGAGTCTCCGTGGGGTGACTTATCCAAGACTTGCTCACGCAGCTCCTTTCCCCTCTCTGCACTCTCACTGCTTCAGGCAGAGGGCAGGTTCCTGTGAGCAGAGGACTCCCAGGCAGAGCCCCCTGCCAGGCCCGCGCCCTCAGGAAAGAGCTAGGGGCCTGCGGCCTTGCCATGCACATGGGGGATAAGGCACCCAGCACCTTTTTTAGGGGGGCGGCCAGGAGGCAGGCAAAGCAGCAGCTCTGGGGGTGCCTTCTGTTCAGGAATGCTTGTCCTCAGGCTGTTGAGGGAAGCGACACCTGGGAGTGAGGGCGCACGGGAGAAGAGATGCAGGTCCTGACCTCACCATCTCATCTCTGCTCCTAGTTAACACGGGCGGCTACATCGAGGCGGTCCTGGACAGAAATCTGGCCGAGAACATCTCCAGAGTCCTGTACCCCAATGACAATGTGAGTAGCGTCCATAGTTTATCTCTGTATAGGCTGGGGCCCTCTACAAGGGCCTGCTTGCTGGTGAGACCACATGACTGATGTCACTTTCCCAAGAAGTAGGTGACCCATTTGTCAAGTGGGGACAGCAATCCCTATTTTGCAGTGACACCTTGAGACGCACGACAGTCATGATTTGAAAATTTCTTGGCTCGTGCCCATCTCATCCTATATAATAAAAGGCTAATATGCAAATCGACCAAACAGCGGAACAAACGGTCTCTATGATGTGCACTGACCACCAGAGGGCAGACTCTCAATGCAGGAGCTGCCCCGTGGTGGTCAGTGCGCTCCCACAGGGGGAGCACTGCTCAGCCAGAAGCCGGGCTCACGGCTGGTGAGCACAGTGGCAGTGGTGGGAGCCTCTCCCACCTCCACAGCAGTGTTAAGGATGTCTGACTGCTGGCTTAGGCCTGTTCCCAGGGAAGTGGGCCTAAGCCGTCAGTCAGACATCCCCCGAGGGCTCCCAGACTGAGAGAGGGCATAGGCTGGGCTGAGGGACCCCCCCCCCCAAGTGCACGAATTTCATGCACCAGGCCTCTAGTACTGAATATGAAGGTCACAGTCACATTTTCTCTTGTCATTGAATTTAGTGTCTGGTGGCATTTTTGTTGTTGCTGCCAGAAAATCACCCTTGAAATCTGCCTATCTTAGTGGGTCCTGTGTTATTGTTTTTTATTTTATCAAAGGAATATGTATACGTAGTAGCCAAGAACATTGGTGCTGAAAGGCTCTTGGTAAAATGCTCCCTTCCCCTCGCACACCCTTCCCAAGATTTTGATCAGATTCTAAAGCTTCAGGCACAGGCATTTTCAGATGGGCGTTGGAGGTTGCATTTCTGGTGGCCCTGGTGTTCCTGGCACTCAGCCTGTCACATTAAGGGACTGGGCCCTCTTGCCTGGTGTCCTCACAGGATGGTGCCCCTTTGCTGGCTGCCCTTGTGCTCCCTCCTTATCTGAAGGTCACACGCAGGTTAGGCCACCTGCGACCTTCCATCTGTGCCCTCAGCTTCAGGTCACCTGACATCTGGGCCCCAGGATTGTGGGGATTGGGGTATCAGCACCATGCTCTCAAGGGCTCTCCTTTTACACACACACACACACACACACACACACACACACACATATATCTCCGCGGTCCCTGAGGCAGGACGCCCCCAACCCTCAGCCTGATACCCCATCCTGAGTCCCGGGGGGCCTCTGAGGGCCTGTAGCGGCCTCAGTGTCTGGGTTGGTGCCGGAGCTGTTCTGTTTCTGCAGTTCTTCGAGGGGAAGGAGCTGCGCCTGAAGCAGGAGTACTTTGTGGTGGCTGCCACCCTGCAGGACATCGTCCGCCGCTTTAAGTCCTCCAAGTTCGGCTGCCGGGACCCAGTGAGAACCTGTTTTGAGATATTCCCAGACAAGGTTTGTGTTTGTCGACTTGGGACTGAGCTCGGTGGGGGAGGACAGGATGCTCTCAGGCTTGGTTTCTTCCCTGAGGCTGGGGCGTGGGTGGGATAGCAGCATCCCCTCATCTCAGTCTCCTCGTCATCATGGGGGTGGGGGGCGGGTAGTCCCTCTTCTTCCCCAACCAGGGCCACACTAGGCCTCGCCAGGAGTCCAGGCAGCAAGGACACTGGAAGGCTCCCATGGGCATAGCTGACGTGTTCGGCAGTATCAGTTCAGTGACTTTAAATGAATCCAACATTCCCTGGTTGAGAGGGCCTTGGGCGGGGGTTGGGGTCCTGCAGTCCTGGGCGCCTACTGCAGAGCAGACGTGCTGCAGAGCCAACCCAGGGGGTCCTCCCGGTCCCCGGTAGCCCTCGGCCTGCTCCCTGGCCAGTTTCAAGCCAGCCCAGCACCTGCACGGCCCTGTCTGCTCCCTGCCATGATCCCTGTGGACTCCTAAGTTGTGTGAGGACCTCAGGCCTGCACATACCAGCCATGTAGGTCCACTCCATGGGCACAGAGCGATGGAAGGTATCACCTTGTGTAAACTTCAGGTTGCCATTCAGCTGAACGACACCCACCCAGCCCTCGCCATTCCTGAGCTCATGCGGATCCTGGTGGATGTGGAGAAAGTGGACTGGGACAAGGTGAGTATGAGGACAAGGGCATGGGGTGACAGTGTCTCCCACAGACCTGGGTGTGGAGTGATGGCGTCCCCCTCAGAGCTAGGCACATGGGGGTGACAGTATTCCCTGTAGATGTGGGCACACAGGATGACATTGTCCCCCTCAGAGCTAGGAGCATAGGGTGACAGTATTCCCTGCAGGACAGGGCACTGAGGTGATGGTATTCCCTGCAGAGCTGGGCACTTGGGGATGATGGTATTCCCTGCAGAGGTATGCATGGGGAGACAGTATCCCCTGACCTTGGAGTTCACCCCAGCAATGGTTGAGAGTGCTGAGCTAGTCCTATGCACTGAGGGACTTGGCGGAATGGAGGGACATTGTCCCCAAGGAGACAGGGGCTGAGGGGAGGAGAACAAAGTTCCAGGAGTAGGTCTGGTGTTTCTCCCCAGGGACTGGGACACAGTGAGTGGGAACAGGGGTGCAAGGACACAGGACACTTGTTTTGGAAGCCAAGAAAAGGATTCTGACACTCCTTAGGGCTCCTAGTATATATTTTCTCATCTTAGAAATCATAGCAAAAATCCCATAAATATTACGTTTAAAGAAATACATTTTTTGCATCTTTACATGTTGTTTTCATGATCAATTTTGGTCCTAGATTCTTTAGTATAGTGGTATGTCCTTGACCTAGTCTAATTAAATCAACATGTGAAACCATAAAACAAAACTTACCCTGTTTTGTAGAACCCAGAGCCCCTCTGTTGTCTTGGGGTGCACCTGGTGGGACTAGGCGGCCCATCTTGGGTCCTGTCCACTCTGGCCAGTAGAGGGCAGGACCATACAGTTTATGAGTGTTCTCCAGGCTGTGGGTGTCAAGTTGGTTTAGTAGAAATAAAGTAAAAACTACTCAGTGCTCTATTTTATTTACCAATAAAATATAGTTTACAGAGAATGCTTGTGCACTCTTGGTGAGAATGCAGATTAGTGTAGCCACTACAGAAAGCACTACAGAGAGCCCTCAAAAAATACAAAAGTGGAACTGCCGAATGACCCAGTGATTCCACTTCCGGGTACTATACATCCAAAGAAACCAAAACGCGAATTCAAAAGTGCATGTGCACCCCCATGTTTGCTGCAAAGTTATTTACAATAGCCAATGTGGAAGCAACCCAAGTGCCCATGTATAGACAGATGAGTAAAGAAGAAGTGGTACAGCCCTGGTCGGTGTGGATCAGCTGGTTAAAGCATCGTGCTGTGGACAGAAGGGTCAGGGGTTGATTTCTAGTCAGGGTACATACCCAGGTTGCAGGTTCGATCCCCAGTCTGGAGGCAGGCAATTGATATTTCTCTCTCACATCGATGTTTCTCTGTCTCCCTCTCGCTCCCTCTCATTTCCTCTCTCTTTAAATCAATAAAAACATGTTCAGGTGAGGGTTAAAAAATAAAAGTGGTACATAATACAATGTAATATTACCTGGCCATAGAATGAAATTGAAATCTTACCATGTGCAGGGGTCCTCAAACTACGGCCCGCGGGCCACATGCAAATACAAATATTGTATTTGTTCCCGTTTTGTTTTTTTACTTCAAAATAAGATATGTGCAGTGTGCATAGGAATTTGTTCATAGTTTTTTTTTAAACTATAGTCCGGCCCTCCAACGGCCTGAGGGACAGTGAACTGGCCCCTGTTTAAAAAGTTTGAGGACCCCATGGATGAACCTAGAAGGTATTATGCTAAGTGAAATAAGTCAGTCAGAGAAAGACAAGTACCATATGATTTCACTTATATGTGGAACCTAAAGAACAAAATAAACACAATTGAAACAGTCTTATAGATACAGAGATCAGAGTAATGGCTGCCAGGGGGCTGGGGGTTGGGGAGCTGGGTGAAAAAGATGAAGGACTTAAGAAGTACAAATTGATGGTTACAAAATAGTCTTGAAGATGTAAAGTACAGCATAAAAAATATAGTCAATAATATTCTAATAACTGGTGTCAGGTGGGTACTGAAAATATCGGGGAGAACACTTTGTAAAATCTATGGTTACCTAACAACAATGCTATACACCTGAAACTAAGAAAAAAATAATAGTGTATGTAAACTGTATATGAAAATTAAATAAAAGAGTTTACAAAAGAGGAAACTGAGGTGACCCTAGGTAGTAGGGTAAGCTTTATTCATTGTGTGTGTTCGCTGGGTCAGGATGCATAATATTTGTAGATCATATCAGGAAAGTGGAGGGCATTGGGCCCAACTGCAGTTCTGAGAAGGTTCTAGACAGGCCCCTGTCTGGTAAGATCTTAACGTCTACCTTTGATCTGAGACTCTCCCCTTGCTGAGGCATCTGGCCAAAGAGCCGATTGTTTCTAAACAAAGCACAACTGGAATCTTCTGGAATGTTCTAGGCCTGGGAAATCACGAGGAAGACGTGTGCATACACCAACCACACGGTGCTGCCGGAGGCCTTGGAGCGCTGGCCTGTGTCCATGTTTGGGCAGCTGCTGCCGCGGCACCTGGAGATCATCTACGCCATCAACCAGAGGCACCTGGACGTGAGCACCGGCCCTGCTGGAAGGGAGTGGGGTGCGGGCACGGGCAGGCTGGTGGGCTGCACCCGCGCCGGTGGCCCTCCTGTGTCCCCACATTACTTCTTGAACCGCATAGCCTCTGTCCAGCAGAGGATTTTGAGATCTGGGGGCTGTCACTTGGTAGAGCTGTTGGCTAGTCCCCACACCTAGCCCCTGCTAGATACATGGGAGTTATTGAATTCAAGTCTGTTTTTAAAATATATTTTTTTTTATTAATATCAAAGAGGAAGGGAGAGGAAGAGAGAGAGAGAAACATCAGTGATGAGAGAGAATCATTGATTGGCTGCTTCCTGCACGCCCCACACTGGGGATCGAGACCAAAACCCTAGGCGTGTGCCCTGACTGGGAACCGAACCGTGACCTCCTGATTCATAGGTCGATACTCAATCACTGAGCCACGCTCGCTGGGCATTCAGGTCTTTTTAAAATGCTCCTATTTCCTCGTGGGGTTTGGATTTAAGTGTCCATTCTTGTAATGCCAGAGATGATGTAGCAGCAATTGGGTGATTTGGAAACAAAGTCTGTGTTATCTTTGTTACCTGCAGAAAAGGTAATGGTACAAACATGAAGTCACATGGCATGGCTTTAGGCCCCCTGGTCCTCTGGTCCTGCCACTGACAGCCGCTCTGCCGAGTCCTCCTGGGCTTCCCCTGGGCGATGCAGGGTGGGAGGATGGGCTCCTAAAGGTGCGACCAGGGCATGTGAGTGCAGGTCTGGGGTGCAGCAGCCCCAGGATTTTCTTGGAGGAAACCAAACTTCTCTCAGGAGCCCCTGACCATTGTGAGCCCTCCTGCACTCCTGCTCATGCCTCTGTCTTGGCAACAGCAAGTGGCTGCCCTGTTCCCTGGGGATGTGGACTGCCTGCGGAGGATGTCTGTGATTGAGGAAGGGGACTGCAAGCGCATTAATATGGCCCACCTGTGTGTGATCGGCTCCCATGCCGTCAACGGCGTAGCGAGGATCCACTCGGAGATCGTGAAGCACTCTGTGTGAGTGGGGCCGCTGTCTGTCCTGGGCTGGGGCGTGCCTCCTTCTGACCCCACACCTGCCCGTATGCACGGCGGCTGAGGTGTGTGGCCCTGCTCCACACCATTACTGTGCTGCCCTCGTGGGCCATGGCTGGCCTGCCCAGAGCACCTTGGCCAACAGGTACGATGTTGAGGAGCTGAACCCTGTCATCACCAGTGGCTCCTGCTTTCTACATTGTGGCTCTGCTCCTAGAGCCTCTGCCGCTGGCCAGGTGCCGGGAGGGCCCCACAGGGACGCGTGTCCTGCCTTGGACCGGGTGACAGTCAGGGTGTGATGGGCAGTGGCTGGTCACTGGGAGAATGGAGGAATCCTTAGGTCAGATCCCCTGGGAGTGGGATGTGATCCTAGAGCCCCTCCTTCCACCCTCACACTGAGCGTGCTGGGCGGGCCTCGGCCAGGTCTGTGCCTGTGGAGACGCCTGTGTGCCTGGCGCCCGCCCAGAGGCTTTGATCCCTACAGCAGATTTCTCAGGGGGAGGGTGTCCCCATTCTCCACTGTCGTGATCACCTCAGAAAAAGGCCAGGTCCTGCTGCCTGTGAGGCTATCGCTAGCCGCCTCTGCACAGCGGGCGTGGGGCGCCTGGGAAAGCGTGGGCTGCGTGTGCAGCGATGCTGGCGGCTCCACCTTCTCTGGGAAACGAAGCAGGAAAACCGAGCTTCAGGACCCTCCCGGGCATTTCCTTACAAGGTCCTCGTGTTCTTCTTGCTCGCCTTGTTCAGAACACAGCATCTGTCACCGTTGCCTGTTTTCTGTGGTTTTAGCTTTAAGGATTTTTACGAGCTGGAGCCAGAAAAGTTCCAGAATAAGACGAACGGCATCACGCCCCGGCGGTGGTTGCTCCTGTGTAACCCGGGCCTGGCTGACACCATCATGGAGGTGAGGCCGGCCACCCCTGTGTGTGGACCAGCAGTGGCTCCAGGATGGGAGTAGGTGGTGCCCAGCTGCCACCCCGCCCCCGCCCCCCCCCCACCCTGCATGGGAGCGCTGGGACAGGCAGGGCAGGAAGTCAGTGGTCTCTGGGCCTGGGGGCGGGGTAGTTCAGAATCGAGGTTCTGGGGTTTCAGGAGGGGCTGGGGTGGGGCCATCGGCCAAGCAGCAGCCATAGGCCAGTAGCCAAAGAGGTTTGTGAGCCAAAGATGTGGTAGTTCATGGACTTGCTCACGTGCTCACTCGGGAGGAAAGGGATGAAGCTTCCTACCTGCTAGGTGTGTGCCAGGCTGTGGGGCGGTGCCTGGTGAGGGCCTGCGATGGGGCACTGCCCTGCCTGGTGAGGGCCTGCGATGGGGCACTGCCCGGCAGGGCTGTGTGTGTGTCAGGGAAGGATGGAGAGTGAGTGGGAGGCATGGGTGACCGAACGGGGGACAGGTCCCAACACGAGCAGAAACCACGTGTTCCTTTACCATTCTCCAGAAAATCGGGGAGGGCTTCCTGACGGACCTGAGTCAGCTGAAGAAGTTGCTGCCCCTGGTCAATGACGAGGCGCTCATCAGGGAGGTGGCCCAGGTCAAGCAGGTAGGCCCGTGTGGCGCCAGGTCCCCACCTGCTCTGCGGCTTGGGGCCCATCCTCTCCACTGAGCTCTTCCGATGAGGACCTGGCTGACCTCAGGGCACCGGCAGGGGGGCGGGCGGAGACCCCAGCGCAGCCTCGAGCACACCTTCTTCACCCGGCGTTCTGTAGGAGAAGCTGGTCAGGGCAGTGCTCAGGCCTGTGCACTGAGCCTCTCCCACCGCAGCAGCCTCAGCCTCACAGGCCGGGTCGCTGGGGCTTCAGACCACACGGGGCCGCCTGATGGCGAGTGAGGACCGGCCCTGAGGTCATGTGCTCCCCCGGCTGCCTCTGTGCTGTGCCCAGGACCAGCCCCTCATTTTGAACTCTCACCCCTCCTGCTTCTCTCCCCAGCTGCCCACATCTGCCTCCTTTTACACCACATTCACTGGTCCCCCTTTATTCTGCTTTTCTCACGCTTTGCTTTTCTCCAGGTTTGCCTTTTGGTCTAGTTTTGCACTTATTTCTACCACTGGTGGTGGGTGTTCACTTTCTGGATCACGCTTCCCCCACCCCCACTTTCCCTCACACAGCGGCCACCCCTCAGCCCTCAGCGCTGGCCTTCAGTCGTCATGGCCCTCGCCTGGGCAGCAGCGGGCGTCCTGGGAGCCCCCTCCCCCCGGTGCCACACTTCTGACGAGGGACAGAGATACTCTCAGCCGAGTCGGACACTGGGGAGCTCATGTTCCCGTGAACCATCCGTCCATCTCCTCTGTTCTCCCCAGGAAAACAAGCTGAAGTTCTCCGCCTTCCTGGAGAAGGAGTACAAGGTGCGAATCAACCCGTCCTCCATGTTCGACGTGCACGTGAAGAGGATCCACGAGTACAAGCGGCAGCTGCTGAACTGCCTGCACATCGTCACCCTGTACAACCGTGAGTGTGGCCTCGGCTCTCGCCCGCCAGCGCGTCCTGGGGCCTGGGCCTCTGTTCATGCAGTCAGGCAGCCAGGGCCTGTGTGTGATGTTCAGCAACAGCTCTGTGTTCTGTGCACTCGGTGTCAGAGTAGTTACAAGGAGTGGCAGGTGAGCTCTCTCTGTCTGACTGGGGTACAGGCCTGAGCTCCGTGAGGGAGGCAGACAGTCAGGTGCCTCAGACGGGCCAGGGACGGCCCCAGGTAGTCAGCATGGGGCCCGGCGTGGGGCTCGAAGGCTAGGCTTTATGTTCGGTTCAGCTTTTATTTTAAATTTACTCATTATCTTTATTAGACTTGAGTTGTTTGGAGAGATTTTACTTATTTAGAGGCATTTAAAGTGTACTTATAAAAAACAAATAGTATACAGTGGGGCCTTGACTTACGAGTTTAATTCGTTTCGTGACGGAGCTCTGTCTGACTGGGGGACAGGCCTGAGCTCTGGGGGACAGGCCTGAGCTCCGTGAGGGAGGCAGACAGTCAGGTGCCTCAGACGGGCCAGGGACGGCCCCAGGTAGTCAGCATGGGCCCTGGCGTGGGGCTCGAAGGCTAGGCTTTATGTTCGGTTCAGCTTTTATTTTAAATTTACTCATTATCTTTATTAGACTTGAGTTGTTTGGAGAGATTTTACTTATTTAGAGGCATTTAAAGTGTACTTATAAAAAACAAATAGTATATATTAAATTCATACATGTACCTTTAATGGTTAGAGCAGCATTTCAACATGACGAACTAGGAATCAAAGACCCCGTAAAAGTAAATATGAATATTTGCTAGTTTTATAAATATTATAATAAAACCTTAAGGAATAACTTTGTTTTTAAAGTTTCATAATGTAATGAAGTGATTAATTTTGAAAACCAAAGAAGCACCAACACTCTTCCAGATAGAAAGCCGCTCGCAGGAACATTCGCGCTCCTGTTACCAGTGAGTAAGACTCGGGCCGAGGAACCCGGGTCCTGGTGAGACCGCTGAGTAACAGGCTGAGTGCTTCCGAGGCTCTGACCCCCGAACCTTCAGGGCAGGCTGCAGGGCGGACCTCCTGTGTGGCTGAAGGAGGCGCCTCACCACACGCTTCCCTGGCCAGCAATACTCACTCCTGCAGATCGCGTTCTGCCTTATTTGTCATGTTTCCCTTTTGCAGGCATAATTCTCTGCATTTTATTTCTCAGCTCCTCCTCACTCACCTGCCTGCACACGTGTGTGTGTGTGTGTGTGTGTGTGTGTGTGTGTGTACGTGTGTACGTACACGCGCTCTGGTGCTTTCTCTGTGATTACAGCACACGACTCTGCTGTCCTCATCCCTGACATGATTTTGGTCGTAGTCTGCGGATGAACACATTCAGTGCCCACCAGCCCTTTCACACAGCCATCCTGCCTGGGCTTCCCTTAGTTCACATGAACTGCACCCCCAGCTGCTTGCTTGTTCTTTCAACATGAAGGATGGGTTGAAGGTGACATTCTCAGTTCACTTCTTTCCACTGAGTATCTTTTAGGTCCTGTGCTCCTCTGTTTGGAGGGTGAGTTCTGGTGTGTCTTGGGTCTGTGACATTTTACCTGCTGTGTCTGGTGCTGGCCGCTGTAGGTCAGTTTGCCTCATGGTCAGGCTACTCTTTGGATATGTTGGTTGCTATCTTGCATTATTTCTAGGACGTTTTCTTGAAATGTATTTAAAACATTTGTTACTGCCACCATTTTGGTTTTCTTCTGGGACTCCTGCTGTGTGTGTGTGTGTGTGTGTGTGTCTTGCCTGGTGATTTCTCTCAGAACATCTAAAGGTCTTTCCTTCTCCATTAGTTCTCTGTGCTTCTCATTTCCATCCTCTGTGTGTGCTGTGCTGAGTCTTCTCCCTCTCGGCTTCTCTACTGAGGCTGCACTCACATGTGGCAGGTCTGCCCCTGAGCTCCGGGTTCTACCTCTGAGCTCCACGTTCTGCCTCTGAGTTCCACGTTCTGCCCCTGAGCTCCGGGTTCTGCCCCTGAGCTCCACGTTCTGCCTCTGAGCTCCGGGTTCTGCCCCTGAGCTCCGGGTTCTGCCTCTGAGCTCCACATTCTGCCTCTGAACTCCGGGTTCTGCCCCTGAGCTCCACGTTCTGCCTCTGAGCTCCGGGTTCTGCCCCTGAGCTCCACGTTCTGCCTCTGAGCTCCGGGTTCTGCCCCTGAGCTCCACGTTCTGCCTCTGAGCTCCGGGTTCTGCCCCTGAGCTCCACGTTCTGCCTCTGAGCTCCGGGTTCTGCCCCTGAGCTCCACGTTCTGCCTCTGAGCTCCGGGTTCTGCCCCTGAGCTCCACGTTCTGCCTCTGAGCTCCGGGTTCTGCCCCTGAGCTCCACGTTCTGCCTCTGAGCTCCGGGTTCTGCCCCTGAGCTCCGGGTTCTGCCTCTGAGCTCCACATTCTGCCTCTGAACTCCGGGTTCTGCCCCTGAGCTCCACGTTCTGCCTCTGAGCTCCGGGTTCTGCCCCTGAGCTCCGGGTTCTGCCTCTGAGCTCCACATTCTGCCTCTGAACTCCGGGTTCTGCCCCTGAGCTCCACATTCTGCCTCTGAGCTCCGGGTTCTGCCTCTGAGCTCCACATTCTGCCTCTGAACTCCGGGTTCTGCCCCTGAGCTCCACGTTCTGCCTCTGAGCTCTGGGTTCTGCCTCTGAGCTCTGGGTTCTGCCTCTGAGGTCCATGTTCTGTCTCTGCACTCCGTGTTCTGCCAGTTCTTGTTTAATGTGCCCCCGAGTCCTGCCCACTCCCGAGGTCTTGAGTTCAGCCCTGTGTCCCCTTTCCATGTTGATGGTCATTGCAGGTTGGAGTTTCTCATAGGGAGGTTTGTTCCGTTCCGTGTCCTCTTGTCTGTGGGGAAGCCGTGTTCATGCTTGTGGTTCCTAGATGAGTGAGCTGCAGTGCTCGGGATGACCGGCAGGAGCGGTGTGGGGCTCCAGGCAGCTTCGGGCTCCCCCAGGCCTGGTGCCTCTCTGTGGCTGCATCTACTCTGTCTCTTCCAAGTCCACACTGGCTCAGGGCTCCCTGGCCTGGCTATCATGGTTTCCACCCCACCGGCCTCTGTCCACCAGGACATCAGCTCCTCTCCCGAGGTGTCCCTGTGGGGCAGGGGCTGAGGAGGTCAGCCTCCCTGGCGCCGGGGGCTCCTTCCCTGTCTCCTTTGCACTTGGCCCCTCTGGGGAAGCCAGGTCTTGAGACCCTTGGGTTCCCGGCCCTGTTCCCCACCCACCCCCGTGATCTGACAGAACTGGCTCAATGGTCTGGAGTTGGCATGTTTTTCCTAGGAAAGTTTTAGTGAAAATATAGTTTTGCGTTTTGCTATACTTCACATTATCCTATCTGTGATTTATGGAAGTGGGAAGATCCGGAAGTCAGGTACATTTGTGTTTCTACTAGAACATGAAGTCACACGTTAAAGATCAGCCATCACTTTACACGGCTTATGGCTGGTTCCAGGTCTCTGGTAAATGCTGCCTAGGGCTGCCTCTCACCCTGTGAGACATCACCCTCTCCCTACCCCCCACGTGCACTGAAACTGAGAACGGGTGGCCTGGCGAGGACCCGCTCAGTGTGCTGGGGCCGAAGGTGGCCGGCCGCAGGGGACTGTAGTGCCTGACCCCATCTGCCATGCAGGAGAGCTTCAGGATGAGAGCAGGGGGACTTGGGGTCTTGCCTGACACTCCTTGAGGGCTGTTGGTGCCATGACCACAATCCTGGGGTCACCTCTTCCTTGAGTGCCAGTCCTGTACTGGGGACCAGACCCAAACCAGGCTCCTGTGTTGGGTGTCCTGGGAACAGAGGTGCAGCTTTTCCGGGGCCTTTGGAAGGGTCTGCTCCCCGCTGGCCTTCCTCACGACCCTGGGGCACAAGTGTGAGTGGGATTTCCTGGCGGGTGTGCAGGGCCCAGTGGCCGTGCCCTACCCTGTGTTGGGTTGACCTCTGAGGACACTGGTCACCACAGCTCACCTGAATCTCTTGTTTGTCCTGCAGGAATAAAGAAGGACCCTGCCAAGGCTTGTGTGCCCAGGACTGTCATAATCGGGGGTAAGGTGAGGTGACGTCCTCTTTGCTTGATATTTGGCCAGAATGCACAAACCACCACACTTTCCAGCAGGGCCACTGGATCCCGACTTGGGCACCAGCTGCCCATTCGACCGGGTGCTGCGGGTGCCTCTGAGCCAGCATGCACTCAGTGCCAGGGGACCCCTAGCCCCCAGGTGGGCCAAGTCTCCATCAGCTCAGCAGTAGGACGGAGCTAGATGGGACCCTTGCCTGCCCAGCACATGGGTCCCCAGAATCCGGGGCACCCTCCAATGAGCTTCCTGGCCCTTCATTTGATGGGGTGGCACCCTTTCACTGCCCCTCCACACTTCTCCTGGCTCTTGGGCCCAGCTTATACCCCATCCCCACCCCTCATACATACTCATGCTGAGAGGATGCAGGTTGCCGGCGGCTTCGCTGACCAGATGTGCGCCTGCTCTGGGCTCCGCTGGACTTTATTTCATCTCATTTCCTATGGCACATTCTTTGGATACACTGTTGTGGAATCTGGTGAATCACCTGTAGGCATAGCTGCCCAGCACATGGGTCCCCAGAATCCGGGGCAGCCTCCAGTGGGCTCCCTGGCCCTTCATTTGATGGGGTGGCGCCCTTTTACTGCCCTTCCACACTTCTCCTGGCTCTTGGGCCCAGCTTATACCCCATCCCCACCCCTCACACATACTCATGCTGAGAGGATGCAGATTGTCGGCGGCTTCGCTGACCAGATGTGCACCTGCTCTGGGCTCCACTGGGCTTTATTTCATCTCATTTCCTGTGGCACATGCTTTGGATACACTATTGTGGAATCTGGTGAATCACCTGTAGGCATTAGTGGCCTCATCATTGCACTCTGTGCTCTAGGACCCACCCTCTAGGATCCATCTCTTTCTCTTTCCCCTGCAGTTATTTTTGTTATAGAAAGGGGGTGCATCTTCCCCGCTGGTTCTGATCGCGTCCTCTGGTATGTTTCAGTGTGTCCTTCAGCTCCCTTATTTCCTCTAAGTTGGTAGTCAGTTTTCTTTTATCTCCTAATTTTTGAAAACAAGCGTGAGGCTGACAGATGTCTGCACACGGGAGAGGTGGCCGTCAGAGATGTGCTCTGGCAGAACTGAGGGAGGGCAGGTGGGCTTCATGCCCAGTAGGGTCGCAGCTGCTTCTGTCATGAGTCTGTCGCCAGATTGAGTGGAGGACACGCAGGGTTGCCATGGCCTCGGCCGCTCTGAGAACTACCTTCCCGGACACCAGGGGGCTACTCGGCTAGACACGATCACCTGTAGGCATTAGTGGCCTCATCATTGCACTCTGTGCTCTAGGACCCACCCTCTAGGATCCATCTCTTTCTCTTTCCCCTGCAGTTATTTTTGTTATAGAAAGGGGGTGCATCTTCCCCGCTGGTTCTGATCGCGTCCTCTGGTATGTTTCAGTGTGTCCTTCAGCTCCCTTATTTCCTCTAAGTTGGTAGTCAGTTTTCTTTTATCTCCTAATTTTTTAAAACAAGCATGAGGCTGACAGATGTCTGCACACGGGAGAGGTGGCCGTCGGGGATGTGCTCTGGCAGAACTGAGGGAGGGCAGGAGGGCGTCATGCCTGGTAGGGTCTCAACTTCTTCTGTCATGAGACTGTCGCCAGATTGAGTGGAGGACACGCAGGGTTGCCATGGCCTCGGCCCCTCTGAGATCTACCTTCCCGGACACCATGGGGCTGCTCGGCTAGACATGGCCTCGGTGTGGCCAGCACCAGGCTGCAGTGACCGGCAACAATGCTGGCCCCAAGCACAGGCCTGCTCATGCGTAACCCTCCTCCTCCTCCTCCTAGGCTGCTCCTGGTTACCACATGGCCAAAATGATCATCAAGCTGGTCACATCCATCGGTGAGGTTGTCAACCACGATCCAATTGTGGGCAACAGGCTCAAAGTGATCTTCCTAGAGAACTACCGAGTGTCCTTGGCCGAAAAAGGTACCCTGGGGAGCCCGCATCAGACTGGAAAGCCTGCCCCTGCCCGGTGCGATGTGGGTGGTCGTTGCTGGTCGGGTTAACTCTGCCCTGGACACCAGGCTCCCCAGCCAAAGGGGGCCTTCAGCCTAGTATTGAAAGGCTTTGGGAGCGCTCTGTCCCTCCTCACGTGCGGAATTGCTCTCAACCTCGGGTGCCTTTGTTCTGTCCTTTCTCGTTCCTGCCCTGATCTCATGTCCCTCCCCTTCCTCTCTTCTGGGCCCTCAGCTTTGCCTTGCTGCTGCGGGCTTGCTCTTTTTTTTTTTTTTAATAATAATATTTGCTTTTTTAATTTTTATTGATTTCAGAGAGGAAGGGAGAGGGAGAGAGAGATAGAAACATCAATGATGACAGATAATCATTGACCGGCTGCCTCCTGCACGCCCCCTACTGGGTATCGAGCCTGCAGCCCCAGCATGTGCCCTTAACTGGAATCGAACCCGGGACCCTTCAGTCCGCAGGCCGACGCTCTATCCACTGAGCCAGACCAGCTAGGGCTGGGCTCGCTCTTGCTGGCAGGATGGGCTTCCATTTGGCCTTCCCTTTTCCTCCCCCAACTCCGGGGAATGCTTCTGCTCATCACCACCTGTTCACTCTCAAGAGCAGGGCCTGCTTCTCATTTGGGCCAGTACCTGCCTCTTCTGTCCTTTCTGAGGGCGGCGCGGGTGACATTCTGCTCTATTCAGAGTTCATTCTGGGGCGGCTCCACTGTAGGGAGCCCTGGGAAGACTTGCTCGGATGTGGGCTGCCATCTGGAGACGGTTCTGAAGGAGGGCCTGCAGCCCAGTGTGCCTTAGAGCAAGGCTGTCCTTATCTGGACGGGCCTTTCCAGATTGGCTGCTGCTCTAGGCTCCAGCGGGACAGCGTCTGCCCAACCAAACGGTGCAAAGCTGAGCCTGGAATTCTGGTGCCAAGGAGCAGGCATGTCCATGGTTCAGACAAACCAGGGGCTGCTTCCTGGGCCTTGCCTGAGTGAAGCTGCGCTCCCTCCTCCTGCCTGCTCGGCCGGTTCGTTGGCACCATCCCTGTGGTCCCGCTGCCATGGACCACGTGTGGTTCAGTTGGTGGTGTGATTAGTCGCTTAGAGCTTCTAACGTGTTTTAATGGCTGTTTGCTGCCTGAAACTCTGCCCCGCCCCCCAGTTATTTGGGTCTGGCTCCTGTGCTTCTTTAGAACAGACCCTGGGAGATGCCCAGTCTGGGGCCTCAGACCTGGGGTGGGGCCTACCTTCTCCTCCAGCTCTTAGACTTGCTGTGGCAGTGTGTCTGCTATTATATTTGCCATATCATCTGCCTGTGGGGTGGGCCTCATGGGGGCCAAGATGCCCGTGTCTCTTTATACTGACACCTGGCTTGACCTTGAAGAGGGCTGGGCTCTGGCCTTGCTGGCCTTGAGAGCTGCCATTGGGTTAGGGAAGTATCAGCTCCACAGATGAGCTGAGGACGTGGGAACAGGGATGCCAAGGCAGGTGGGACAGAGGAGGCGCAGGGAACCCAATCCTGGGAGGAGCTGCAGGGCTCAATCTGTGAACAGCACAGAGTAACCGTGAATGGGAGGAAATGCCCTCACCTCCCCACTCCACATTTTCTAGTCTTCTGGGTCCTAAGGAGTCCAGATTCCTCTTGAAGTGATCTAATGAGACTTACAGACTTTTTAATAAGACAAAAGTGGTATTGGGGTGAAAGGGAGCGATCACACCAACAGGCCAGGACCAGGGACCCCACGGGGCTTTGTCTAGGTTCTGGTTCCTGGAAGGTTTCAGAACGAAGGTCCTTTGCCACCTGCGATGTTTCTTCCAAGGGTCCCCTCTTGGGACCTCTGCCTCAGGCTGCCCTGGGTCAAGAAAGGGAGCCCTTATAGGGAGGGTGGGCGGTGCCCAGCCTTGGCCACTTGCAGGGGTGCCTCAGGGCTCTGGCTCATCCTGGAGTGAGCGCCAGCCTCGGGGCAGGATGAGAGAGTAGGGTGTTTCTTGCAGATCCGTGGTTCACACTGAGTAGTTGGTGGCTGACATGCCTTCTTGTGCTACCCCCTGGCAGTGATCCCCGCTGCTGACCTATCCCAGCAGATCTCCACCGCGGGCACTGAGGCCTCAGGAACGGGCAACATGAAGTTCATGCTCAACGGGGCCCTCACCATCGGCACCATGGACGGTGCCAACGTGGAGATGGCTGAGGAAGCCGGGGCCGAGAACCTCTTCATCTTTGGCCTTCGGGTGGAAGACGTCCAGGCCCTGGACCAGAAAGGGTATGTGTGTCCCTCCCCATGCCATCAAGGGTGTGGCATCATCCTGGGCACTGCCCAGAGCCCCAGGAAGGGCCATGAAGGGGCTCAGGCCAGGCCTCTGCTTGGCAGGGCGCATGCCCACCCAGGGGGTGGGGAGTGGCTGTGGGCACTCTGGCCTTGTCTGTGCACGTTCAGCTTGGACAGGAGCTGGCTGCTCTGTGCTTCTCCACGGCTCAGTCAGAGGGAACCAGACTAAGTGTTAAGAAAGGAGAAAGACAGAGAGAGAGAAACATCAGTGTGAGACACATCAATTGCTTGCGTGCGCCCTGGCCAAGGATCAAGCTGCAACTGGTACTTGCCCTTGACTGGAATTGAACCCGGAACCCTTCAGTCCTCGGGCTGACGCTCTATCCACTGAGCCAAACTGGCTAAGGCCAGACCAAGTGTTTCAAAGGGTGGAAGGCCCTGGTCTCTGTCGGGGGAGCCCCTGGGGACAGGGCTCTGAATACTCTTGACCGATTTGGGGTTTGGCCCACTGCTGAGATGCCCTGGCCTAGTTTTGTAAAATAACCCAGTTGCCTAGGAATGGTTTTAGAGTTTCAGAAAAGTTGCAAGGACCATACAGCGTGCCATGTACACTTCCGCTTTTACCTGTTGTTTGCATATCATTAATTCGTGTGGAACACTGTCAGAATGAATGAACCAATAATGGTATGATGTTATTTTTTGAAGTCCATCCTTTATCTCACCATTTCCCCATGAATGGCCTGTCCTTTAACGTCCCAGGATCCCATCCAGAGCATTTCTCTCATCTGTGACAGTTTCTCAGCCTTTCCTTGTTTTCCATGACCTTGGATGCTTTAGGAGTCCTGGCCCAGCCTAATTCTGAGCAATAATGAACAAGAAAAGACAATGTTGCCCAATTGCCTAAAAGCTCCCTGGGGAGTTGGTGAGGCCTCAGGCACCAGCCAGGTAAAAACCCAAGTCACCTAAAAAGTCAGAACTTGTCCTTGTCAACCTGAGAGTACACACCTTACATGCCCTTCTCGACGCCCCGCATTCAGACTCTTTCTGCCCCATCTCCGAGTACTAGGATTACACCTCTGTCAGATGCCTCCTGTTCCGACTTCCTGATGGCCACAGGCCTGTGTCCTGCAGGGTGGGACTAGAGGGTGGGAGGCACAGGGGGAGGGGGTTGGGGGGAGGGTGGGGATGCAGAGTTACAAGTTTTAGCAGCCCTCTCCTGTGGGATTACGATGGAGCCATGTGCACCATTGTACATCCTCAGGGACGGCGGTTCTGTAAACAGTAACAGGAGCAGGTGGGATTGAGTTTGCACTCACAGCACATCACCATCTCTCCAGGGCCCAGTAGCCCTTGGACCCTCTGCCTCAGGGTCAAGGTGGAGCCTGGGGCAGTGCTAGGTCAGGGAGGGGTATGCCCGTTGCCTGCCCCAAGGCTGCCGCCTGCAGACACTGGCTGACAGCTGACTCCACCCGCTCCTCACAGGTACAATGCCCAAGAGTACTACGACCGTCTGCCCGAGCTGAGGCAGGCCGTGGATCAGATCAGGGATGGCTTCTTCTCCCCCCAGGAGCCAGACTGTTTCAAGGACATCGTCAACATGCTGCTGTACCACGACAGGTGGGACCGGCCTCCCTGTGGTCCTTACGTTCCCGTGGTGGGCTGAAAACTGTGTTGTGGGGTGAACCCTGGCCTTAGTGAGGCGTATACCCCCTTGCTCCCTCGTAACTGTGGCCCATGGGCAGGGCCTCAGGCCCTCACCTTGAGAAGTTCCCCTACCCCAGGTCTAGAGCTTGCAGTGGCCTCTGGC